AAGATGGGAAGATAAGGACGATAGATGTTTCATAGGAAAGAAGAAGCGAACCACACCTGAGCATCCGTCAACCACCCACTAACCAGAGCAAATTTACCCGAAATGTTTAAAAACTTTCCAGCATGGTATGGACACTTCTGGGATAAAGAGACACAAACTAAAATATAAAAAGGGAATTCATCCCAGTTCATTATTGTATAGGCTACCTAATGACTGGATCTCTACAATACAACAATATGTTTTGAGAGTAGTAAAAATGTTGAAAAATAAAGAACTGGGTGATGTATTATGCAGCTCACTAGAATCTGCTGTGTAACGATCAGGCTCTTTGCCACTGCAAGCAGAAGATGAGAGTTGGATTCCTAAATAGGGGAGTTTATTATCAAGTAGGCCTATCTTGTTCTATCCCAATCAGCAAAGGATGTCCTCGACTTTAAAAGTTAAAGTGGTGGTTTTAGTAAGAATTTTACAGCGCTTGCAACACAATTAGGTCATATATAAGTGCAGACGATCAGAGCTGCTACAAGAGAGAAACAAACCAAAAAAAGGAGAAAAGATAAGGAGCATAAATGTTTGATAGTTAGAAGGAGCAAACCACACCAGAGCACACGCCATCCACCAATGTTGTAAAAGCTTGCCCCCGAAATTATCTAAATTGAGTCAAAGGGGGCACAAATATGTATCAATTTTTAAAAAACTAGCTGGGCCCTCGTTCGATGAACGGATTGAGACAGAATCGTGTTGATTGTTCCCAGTAGCAAGAAAAAGAATTTGACAAAGGAGTCCAGAAAAAGCGATGATGGGTATTAAACGAAAGGATCACAGTCGAATTTAGCACCAACTAAAGAAAGAAAACATCAGGCTAGATCTATACGGGTCGCACACTCAAAATAGTGATCGAACGGAAGTATGATTTGAAATAAACAAAAAAGGCGGATTTTCTAAAATTACAGAGACAGCGGAAGCTTCGGCCTACAAAAACGATCGGGGAAATAAAGAATCTTAGCTTTTTGCAGCAAAACTGTCTCAAAACTGCAAAAATGAAGGGCGTCATGATCTGGAGAATATTTTTTTAAATCTTTAGGCGAAAACTGCATGTCAATAGATGCAGCCATTAAAAAGCCTTTTGAATGGCAAAATTCGGCCACCACAAATAGATAATAGATACGTTTATAACACAATGCACCTGCTGAGCAGCTCCTTCGCTTCCTCATCCTGCACACCCTCAAGAAGCTTCTCAAACTCTTCAGCTTGAACTTCTCGTGGGAAGTCTCTGTAGCCATACTTGTGAGACATCAGGGACTGGAGGGAATAAAAACCATGTTCTAATACAAGTGGAACAAATATTTAGCCTTTAGACAGTTCGAGAGTTTCTTTTATAGAAAAGTTTTAGTAAGCGTTTTATGGCACTTGAAACACAATCAGGTCGTATGAGAGCCTGAGAGTTTCAGGATCGTTGACAAAAACAACAGCTCAAGAGTGGATCCAGGCAAACAGAGTTTCTGAGTTTTTGTTGGGGGCGGGGGGGTTAATGGTTTTTTTTAGTAAGTGTTCTACGGCGCTCGCAACTGTATAACTGTATGAGCGTGGCGGGACACACCAAACATTTTCAGTTGGTAGGAAATTTAGAATTTTGCCTAGGAGGAGGCCGAAGCCTACTCTCATAGATTTTGGACCTACAAAGGATCTTTAACATGTGCAACTTGCACAAAGGACCTCCAAGATTTTTCGCCCTTGTCCGGGAAGACTAGATTTAGATCTTACCTACCATAAGATCAGGGGTGTGGCTGAAAGACAACAGTAAGAAGAAGCCATGGAGAAGAAGTAGAAAGGCTGCAGAAAGAGTCAGGCACCCAGAGGAGGGGGCAAAGGAAGTGAGGGGGTGGGGATCAGAATGCATAGCAGGCAGCAGTCATGGTCCTGACTGAACTGCCGGCCTCAGGACAGCTGGTCATAAAGGAATTAGTGGCCAATTCACACCCACAATTTCAAAAATGACTCAAGGCATTAAAAACAAAGGAGTTTTACCGATGATTGTTTGTAGAAACAGTATGAGTGGCCTTGTGGCACAAAAAAAATATGAGTGGCCTTGTGGCACAAAACAATATGAGTGGCCTTGTGGCACAAAACAATATGAGTGGCCTTGTGGCACAAAGGGTGGACAAATATTGTTTTATTCAATTTCATTATTTTGAAAGGCGCCTGGTTTCACCATGATGCCACTCATTATCAGCATGTACACCGAAGTGCTCCCTTGTATCTTAGAAAAAGACAAGATATTCTTAAGCCACTTGTCACTATTTCCTATTTGCACTGAATACTAATGAGAGTTTCTTCCGTTCTGAGAAGGAACTAATTTTGAATTTCTTTTTCAAACTGACATTTACTTTGAATTGTCATGCAGTGTCACTGACATGCACGGGGAACCTTTGAGATTTTCAACCATTTAACCACTAGTAGTTGTAGATGAAAAAGTTTCACGTCCCAATCAACACAATTAAGACCATTTATGAGGCGGGCTGATTTGACCCTGCCTGTATAGGTCAACCAGCGCTGAGAGGGATACATCTACCCAGCAGACAGATGAAGAAACTTGATAATTAAAACCTCTCAATGTGGAATCAAACTCACATCTTTTGCACTTGACGATGAAACACCTAACTGCCAAACAATAGAAGCCAATTGCAAGCAACATGAGACCAATTCAAATAAGCAATGCTGACTGCTGAACTACCTGAAAATGAATGCTTCTTATTATTCTTCTGTTGCCACTCGTTCATGGCTGACTTCCGGATCTCTTCCGTAGCAGAATTTGATTGCAAGAATGTTAGACGGAAAAAAAATTAAATCTCAGCAGCATTACTGTGTCCCAAATGGATACTGCTCACTCTTACCATAAAGCAGGGTCCAGTTGATTGCTTCTTGCAGAGCTCTACTTCTCTCAGACAGATTTCAGTGGTCATGTGATCATCTTGTGCTTCGTCACGGATCCCCCATCTCATATCTACAACCTGAGGAATGAATTATAAAGCACATAGAGTATGCTGTAGAGCATGGATACGAGCTTTATAAAAGCAATTATCATTATTATTATTATTATTATTATTATTATTATTATTATTATTATTTTTATTATCAATAGGAGTGGGATTTCCCATTCCCGATCTTATATATGTTCAACCTGACTAAGGAAACAATAAATGTACGACAAATTCTCCATTTCATAAGTGTAATCTAAAGAAGAAACAAGGTGTATTCGATGGATTTCCTATTTCATATCTGTACCTTGATGAAGAAACAAAAATATGCCATAAATATCCCATCCCACATCTACAACCTAATCAATTTTTAGATATATATATATATAATATATATAGTATAACACAGATAGGTCAAACACAGAGGACTCGAAATCACTCATCCGTCAAGCTGTGCGTCGCGGCCCCGTTTTTTTTCATCTTTACCTTTGTAAGAAAACTACGCAAAGACAGTCAAACTAATTACGCTACCGAAGAGGTCTGAAGTCAATGTCCTTTGGGTGCACTTAAAACAAAATAATAATAATAATTTTTTGTGTTGAAAGGAAAAAGGCAAGACCGGTTAAATACGACCTTCCCAATTCCACAGTCGAAGTAGCTAGCTGTGTGATTTTTAGTGCGCTGCTCGACATTCATGAGCACGCGAGCACACACACACACACAAACACACATGACACACACATCACGGAGTACCCCATTTTTCATTTCATCATGGCTTCAATTTCAACTAGAAACAAAACACAGCAAACACTTCCAGTCTACCCCGCTACTGCTCCTCATCACCATCACGTTCATCGCTGGACACGCCGGAGGAAGGGAAAAGGGTCGTACTACCCGCACTAACTAATTTCTACCGCACTCACTCATCAAAGGGCACTAAAGTAGTAATCTTTGTTGCTTCCCTTGATTCTCTGACACAGTCGATGCCATAACACTGTTCACGTGTCCCTCGAACTACGAATCCCTCGAACTACTAAGGCCGGCTCTGACGAATTCGTGCTATCCATGTTATACTATGGTTGATGCCCTATAGATTTTATAACTACAAATTGATCAAATGAAATTAGTTAAAAATACACAAGGAATGACCTATCTCACATCTGCAAGCTGATAAAAATTTTAAAACATACATGGACAATAATACTTGCAAACCAAATAAGTCTGAGATTAATAACTACTTTCAAGAAAGACTCCGCAAGAGTAAAGTGAGCAAGAAAATGGATAATATAATTTTGCACCAATGTTGTACTTTGTAATTTAAGCTCAATAAACTTGTACTGTATCTAGAAATCATGCAAGAGGGTTTCCAAATGGTTTTTCAAACAAAATTAAACTTGTCCTTATTTTAGACCATTCTTACAGAGGCCCACATCCTTACTGCTCTACTGTATTTTTACAGTACCTGAAAATCATAGCCTTTTGACTGGCAAAAAGCTTTCAGCTTAGGGTAGACTTTTTCCATCAGCCAGTTCCTTTCATGCCTTGTGTCTGTGAATATATTAAGATTCATTCTCAAACAATCAAAGTAACACTACTATAACTACTATGCCAAACTACTACAACTGGGCCTTTCCGACCCCCTCCAAAAAAATATTTTAAAATTTAAAAATTTAAAAAGCTCTTATATTGTTATATTACATTATGCTGAATCAAAACACTCTGAAGATGTAATATCACTAGTACACTACCGTGATATGTTAGAATAAAACAGCATTATTGAAACAGACACTAAAAGCCCTCACTAAGCTAACAAGCAATCATTTCACTTTTAATATAATATAACACAAATATTGCATAAGCAGTCATTGTCAAAGACATCTTATAACCATAATTCAAATTAGATCTGACAACCTAGCTATCGCTTTAAACAAATGATAAAAAAAACAGGCTTTTAAATAGTCATGAGACTATAAGCAACTGAAAGTCAAGTAATGTTGGCAGTCAGTTTTCAAATGGGCAGTCACCAGAGGCCAGAGAGTGTCCTCAACCCAAACATATTTACTTCTGCTATCAGTAGTCCTGTGACTATAAGCAACTGAAAGTCAAGTAATGTTGGCAGTCGACTTCTGCATCCAAGTACCGCCGTCAGTGGTGAAGCGGTAAAGTGATTTGCTGTCGTAAGCAGGACAGCCGAGTTTTGTGCTGGTGTACTGTATCCCTCTCAGCATGGGTGGGTAACGTATACTGTATCCCTCTCAGCATGGGTTGGTAAACATATACTGTATCCCTCTCAGCCTGGGTTGGTAAACCCGCCTCCTAAATTATATAAATCATGGATTGGGGTGCAAATACGTATCACGTATGGAGATTTTAACTCTTTAAACCCCATCGGGACGTTGGGAGCATAAGGCAGTAAGAACCCTGTTCACCATTGGCATCCGATACTAGTGACAACTGTTTCGCTTCATTCAGTGCTAGTTTTTTCTTGTTTTTTGGAATCATTCCGATCCAAGTTTTTTAATAATGACTAAGCCTTTGTATCAGCCACTTAGAATTTGGTGGAAAGCTTTTGGGGTAATAATGAATAATGAGACAAAGTGCACCAGGTTTAGGTGACTGTAGAAAAAACTCTGGGAAACTGGAAAAATCTAAGGGTTTAAAGAATTTTAAGTCATTTTTTTTTATCTTGGTTTTTCATTAGTGGTATCCTTCCTTTAGGGAACATCCAACATTCAAGCTTCAAGCAAACATGAAATTCTGACCATTTTTTTGTTCATAAGTTGTGAGTGCACAAAAATTGGAGGTCATGTCTCATTGAACATTCTAACCCTAGATAGCGTAGCTTTTCTGTAGATATCAATCTTAACATAAATGTTACAATCATCAAACAAGGAAGACACAGGGTGGGGAAAATATTAAACCCAGTATCTCAGTCTATGTTCTAGAATGCTATATTCAACTAAGCCTCTGTTGGCCCTGAGAGGCAGGATCCTAACAGTCCAACTACGAAATTGTCTATTAAGAGTTAATAGAGTTTTACAGCACATGCAACACAAATTGGTCACATAATTGCCAAAGAGTAGAGGTGTTACTTGAGAGAAACATACCAAAAAGAAAAGAGGAGTGGAGCTGAGCTGAGGAAGATAGCTGTTTGATGGAAGAGAAGTTGCAAACCACACCACAGCGCCCGCCAACCACATGCCAAAATTATCTAAATTGTGTTGATGCGGACGTAAAACATATGCAATCATTACACTCATTCTACAAAAACTCACCTGTGAAAGTGCTGCTGACAAAGATGCGAACTAGTTTTGCGACTGAAGGGCACTCGGCAGACACATCCCCTTTAAGGATCTGGGCAACATATGGTGGTTCATTCCCAACTGCCAGTTTCGCCAACGCTGCATAGGTTTCTGCCAAGGCAACTTCCAGCTGACATTTTGAAAATTGACAGACAAATAAAAACTCTTGTTTACAAATTTACTAATGATATTAACATTTGATTTGGTTTGGCTATACATGTATTATATTGAGAAAAGTCAGGCAACAAAAAATGTGTCCCCATTTACCAGCGCTGCTCAGTGGTGACGAGGCTCTAACAGATCTCCGTATTTCGGATACATTTTCACACTTACTCAATTTTTACATGGTCTTGTGATAACTTATTTCTCACTATGGATCTTAAGTCTTTCAGTTATGTCATATTTCTTGTATTTTTGATAGTTTTTAGCATGTCAGTGCAAATTCATCAGTGCAGTGTTTTGAGTGAATCTCAACCATTGAGAGAGACCTTATACAGTTCAGCGATGTTAAAACGCCTAAGACCGGCAGGCAAAAAAAGTGTTTTCAATGTCAATCTACCCCATGAATAGAGACCACGTAAACGGGGAAGGAAGGGAGGAATAAGTTTCAGAGCAAGGAAAATCATTTTTAAACCATTTGTACCTACAATCGTAACTGGTAATGCAGGGTCATTAAATAATCAAATGAATGAACTCTGTGCAAATGTTAGGTTTATGCACGAGTATAGAGAGGCCTCACTTATTTGTTTTATCAAGACGTGGTTCAAGGACAGTATTTCTACCAACAGTGTGGACATTGACGGATTCCATCTAGTACGTTATGACAGAATGATAGACTCTAAAAAAGAACGAGCCGGGGGAGTGTGTGAGTATGTGAACGAACACAAAGACACACCAAGAAATTACTGCAGGATACTTTTTGCTGATTTTTCATCCGCTTTCAACACAATCCAACCTCACATAATGGTTTCAAAATTAATTAACAAGAACATAAACAAGAACATTATAGCTTGGATTATTGAGTTCTTAACCAATCGACCTCAAAATGCAAAATTAAATAGTGTAAAATCCGACCTAATATTCACGAACACCGAGGTGCCCCCAAGGTTATGTAATCTCCCCTTTCTTGGTTATGCTCTACACCAACGACTGTACTTTTGATAACAAAATATCAAACTAATAAATTTGCGAATGATTTCACATCTACAAGGCCTTATAACAACAAATGAGAATGAATACCGGGATAATGCTGTAAATGTATTTACAAATTGATGAGATAACCACTTCCTTTTACTAAATGTTAAAAAGACAAAGGAATTAATAGTAGACTTTAGAGTAAAAAAAGACCAATTGCAACCACTGTTTATTAAAGATGAGGGGGTGGAGGTGGTAAGCTCTCACAAGCATCTTGGTATAACAATTCAAACTTGACTGGCATCCCTACGCTGCTCTTGTGTATAAAAAAGTAAATCAAAGAATATTCCTTTTAAAGAAATTTAAAAGTTTCCGTGTGGATAATGAGATTAAGTCCCTATTCTACCATTCTATGATTGAAAGCGTGCTATAATTTTATATTTGCTGCTGGGCTGGGGAAGTTGGGTGAAAGATAAAGAAAAATTTGACAGAACCATTATGAAAGCCAGCAAGATTTCTGGATATGATTTTACTAGAATTGATGAAATGTATAACACCACAAGTATAAAAGAGACAAAAAACATTATAAACGACCCATCACACCCCTTTTCCACACAAATTGTCAGACCACGCAGCGGCAGATACGTACCTCTAAAAATAAAGAAAGAAAGATATAAACAAAGTTTTATACCATCTAGCATATGGCTACTGTTGGAATAAGCATAGATGTGTATTGCTCTTTAGAGTATGTATTTGTATAACTCCAAAGGTCCTGTAATTAAATTCCTCCATGGCCTAGGCTGAATGATGCATCAGATGTCATATGTACATTGGGTCAGCTTTACTCCTCTTTTCACATTGAATTTTAATGAGAGTAATATATATAATTCAAATTTTCATGTACGCCTGCATGTGTTTTTACTGTTCTGTACAGCCAAGAAAAGTTTTCCTCTGGGATAATAAAGTATTATCTTATCTTATCATAATATTGTGTGTAACAATAATAAACATTCTGTCTGTCTGTCTGTCTGTCTGTCTGTCTGTCTGTCTGTCTGTCTGTCTGTCT